ATCCAATGCCCCGATTTGCATTCTGCTCTGCATGCAGATCTTTCCTCTATGCAGTCCGGCAGATGATTCCTCGACGACAATACAGGGTACATACATTGCATAATGCAGTCGTACATGGCATGATGGAACACATAATCTCGAGCGTGGCACAGTCAAACAGATAAACAGCCACAAGGCGGGGGCAGCTATCATAGGGTCAGAGGGCCCAATGTGAGACTGAATCTGGACCAGTCAATTTGTGAGGCGACAAAAGTACCGCGGGATGATCTGTCAGGAGACGGGGCTGATGGGCACCCAAGCATACGGAGTACAAGCAAATCCTTGATTTGGTGTCGACTGGATCGATCTACTTTCCCATATTGATGTAACTATTCCATTAGCGTGGGGATATACCTATAGCGCAGCAAAGTCCCCATTCTCAACTTCGGCATTCTCACATTCAGGGCCAAACAAATGCAACTCTATATGTATGTGATCTTATGTATCCCTGTCTCATTCCCCAAAGCATACGTTCGGAGTTGTGTGACAAGACCTATAGTTATACTATAATGGTAGAAATAGAACCTTGGAAGTAGATGTATATGTACGTTTGATATGTACAATGTAGATCTTGGGAGCTCTGGAGGAGGGGTTGAGGGGTAGACGGATGTGAACCATGGTTGAGATCTATCAACGACATCCGAGGTTTTCATATCTGAAAAAGACGTATGGTATTTTCTATGCTGTATCTAATATTTGCAGATGAGACTGATATAATCCCCCTGTAGGGGGGGGCAAATCTGAAATTAGAGAATAAGGGGCACCGTAAGCCTCTCGAAGTGTGCCACGATGGAATCACCCGCCTCACATGCCACATAATTTAACTACTCGATAAACAAAGGATTTCCCCCTCTGTACCCATAAAAGCCCTGAGCGAGGGGCACGATTCAATAACATAATCCACCAGAGTACATTGTAAATCACACCCTCGCAGAAATTCCTAAATAATATAAATGATCGACCCTGTAGTGTTTAATTATCTAATAAAGATCCAAGGGGGGACCAAATTGAACCATGTGGGCTTACGATCGGGACAAATCTATAGGGCTTTTTTGGAATAATTACGTGTCGATTTCGTATGGTAAAGTCCATCGTAAAGAAAGAGAAAGGGGGGGCACATTCGACAAGTGAGAAAGTGAGTGGTTAAAGGAACGAAGAGTGCGTGGCCGGAAAGGGGGCTGGGTAGTAGTTCTCTTTTAGTTCCTATCTCTGATAGTCATTTTAGTTGTGATCGGTCCCGCTTTCGCCCCCCTCTGTTGCCCAGGTGGTCTTTGCTTCAACGCGTAAAGTAAGCGATCGGCTTAGGCACACGTCCTTTTTCCCCCTCCCTTCCTCAGTCCCCTCCACCCCCCCCCCCCCTCCACCCTCCCCCCCCCCCAAAAAACCAAAAACCCGATTTCGAAATCCCAAATTCCTTCTTATTCTCCTCATCCTCCTTCCCCTCTCCTCTTCCCCTCCCCTTCCCTCATCTAATCGCGGTTGATCATCCCGCCCTTCTTTTTTTTAACAGCGTTTGCTTCTTTAATATTTCCTACTTGTGGCTGGACACCACTTTCTCACTACCCTTTACTTCCCTTTACCCCCGCTCAAGGAATGATCAGACATCCCAACGAACTCCTGTCGTCGACACGCCTACAGAACCGGTGCGAGCTTACTCAGGGGACAATACCACCGTCGCTTTCGCTCTTTCTCTAAGAGACTCGCACACATGGCTCCTTCCGCACCTGCGACGGCCAACTCACCGGCCAAGAAAACATCGGCCCCAGAGAAGAAATACAAATGCCAATTTTGCAATCGCGCGTTCAGCAGAAGTGAACATCGTAGTCGCCATGAGCGCTCACGTAAGATTTCGAAAATTCACTGTCACGCCTTTTTCACCCCTCTCTAATTGACTTGAAAATATAGACACGAAAGAAAGACCCTTCAAGTGCTTAAAGTGCCGCAGTACCTTTGTCCGTCGCGATCTTCTTCTGCGACATGACCGAACTGTTCACGCTAAGGACGGCGGAATTCCCCTGGTCGCAGAGGGGCGCAGACGTGGTGGAGGGGTTCAGAAAAACTCGTCTGCCCCGGCTCAGCCGTCAGTCACCATTGACCCGACGACGCTGGAACAGATCGAGGCAAGCAGCAATGATGGTATGGTCGACCTTGAAACTGCAGCCATGTTGATGACAGATTTCCAACATAAGGCTGCAGCAGCGGCGACCGGTCAGGTCTCCGAGCGTTCCGAATCGCTTTCGCCAGGACGCGGCTCCTTCGATCCCTACCTCTCGGGCAACGCCACTCTGCCTCAGATGCCTTGGGACACGCTCGTCTCCCCCGCGGAACCGGGGTCGATGCCCACCCTCGTCGATCGCCATGGCCCTGTCGGGGACGTTCTCATGTCCAACTCGCTGCCTCTATCTGGGCACTCCACCCCGAATGCTCTGTCGCCCTACCCTTCGATGACTGGCCCCGTTAGCCCGGTTAACTACCGCCGCTCGCCGGGCCCCAGTCAAGCGCTGACTCTTCCCAAGGCTCCCCAGCTTGCTAACGACATGGAACGCAACTTTGTAGTGGACCGGGTTCAGGGATCAGACAGCCTTGGTGCGCTTCCCGATACTTTCCAGCTTCCTTCCACGGTTGCGCTGAACCGGTATTTGTCCACCTACTTTAATCTGTACCATCCTCACTTGCCATTCCTGCACCAGGAATCCTTCAAGCCTTCCCAAGTCCCAGCACCACTGTTGCTTGCAGTTTTGTCGATTGGTGCTCTGTACACTTTCGAGCGCGAGCACGCCTTCATGCTCCACGTCGGCTCCAAGGTCCTGGTCAACCAATTCCTGCAACACAAGGACAACTTCGATTCCCGCAAGTGCCCCTTGTCATTGATGCAGGCTACTTTGTTGAACATGGTATTTGAGAGCTGGAGCGGTGACCCGAAGGGCCTTGAATGGACTTGCTCGATCAAGAGTCTCCTGGCCAACATGGTCGCCGGCAACCGGTACCAGCTCAAGTTGCGGACCCAGGCTCGCCAGAATGTCCAGCCTTCGCGCGAGGAGTGGATTGAGGACGAATCCTGCCGTCGTACATATTTCGCCGTGTACATCTTCTTCGGCATGTTGACGCTCACATTCAATCACACTCCCGCCATGAGCTTCGATGAGTTCGACGACTTGGAGCTCCCGTCTTCAGAGTCCCTCTGGAACTTGGACGCGGCTGATGATGAGAGTTGGCGCCGTGGTACGGTCTCGAGCGCCTTGACTGTGCGTGAGGCCCACGACTTCCTTTTCCAGGGCGAGCAGACCCGCTACAGTGCTTTCGCCACTCGTGTTCTTATCAACGCCCTGTTCCTGCAAGTTTGGAGCCACAAGCGCAGCTTTGAAGCGCTCCAAGATGTGGTCACCGAATACAAGCTGCGCCTAGCCCTCGAGACCTGGGAGAACTCCCTCGAGGTTTGCGAACCGGAAACAATCGTGGTCCCGCTTAGCACTCCTCAGAAGGGTCACCCCTTGATCTTCAACTCGATGGCGGTCTACCGCAACACCCGCGCCCGCCTGGCAGTTGATCTTAAGTCCATCCAGGAGGCGATGCGATACCACTCCTCATACGAGGTGGCGGCTGCCATGACTGTCGCTCGTGAGAAGGTTAAGCGCTCGCAGGAGATGAACAAGGTTATCCAGCAATGCTTCGAATGCATTGAGATTGCTGCCATCCAGGGCATCAATTGGGTTGCAAAGACCTCCGCTACCAACTGGAGCGTTGAGCACCCTCTCTGCGGTCTGGATCTGATGGTCATTCTGAGCCTCTGGCTCTACCGCCTGGAACATGACGATGAGCCGGCAACTGAGGCAGAAATGGCCCTCTACAACAAGGTCCGCAATCTGTTTGACGATGATGCCATCGACGCCTTTGGAAAACTCAGCTCTACCGTCGCCCGTGTATGGGGTAACATCCTAGACGGCGTGGTTGTCTGGGGGTAAGTTTTTATCTCTGCCCATATCGATGACCCAATAACTAACCGTTTACAGAATCACGAAGTTGATGGGCGAATCATTCAAGCTCCACTCCCAGGCCCTGGTCGGCTACGAAGATTCTCTCCGTGTTGGCAAGGATCAGCCGATCCATGCGGTGCCAACCAAGTCGCTTGCTAGCGTCGGCACCGCATACTAAGTTTTCTTTTCATCAATCTCCTTGAGTTGATCCGCTTTTTTTTGCCTTTTCTTGAAATTTTCGTTTTCGATTTCTTACTCTCATTTGTTGGACGCTTTCATTGGGACACTTCGGAACTAGGACTGGACATGCCAGTGGGCAGGCGGGGTGTTGGGCTTTTCTGGAATACTTCGCCTTTTGATATCCGTCTCGGTGGTTCCTAGTCTTTTGCTTTTTTTGCTATTTTCTTTTGCATTTTCCCTGCTATTTATTACACCAGGGAGTCCAGTGTGGTGTTTCTGCTTTCCGTCTTCGACACCTGGCTGGTCCTGTGTGTACTTTCGCACTCCGTGGAGTTTGACTTTATGGTTCATACTAACCCCTAATCGTGCCCCCTCGTCCATCTGCTTTTTGTGCTTTCGATACCTTTTGACATTTCATGCGTTCGCGTTGCTTTTTTTTCATATCTTGCCATTTACCTCTGCTTCTTTGGTTGATTTCCAGCCGCTGTATTTGATGTTAATTGCCTGCGCGCCTTTCGACCCCGTCTTTTGCTTTATATGCTTTTTACGTTCAGCATTGCTTTGAAAATTTTTCGCATTTTGTTTCACCTGCACATGTTTTATGCCATTTCCATGTACTATACGTTATCGATGAATTATTTGGCGGGGACAAACCTCTTTTCCTGGGCATTAGGTTGTAGACTTGAATTGTAGTTTGTAGCCTTGATCACTTATAGCCAATTTGTAGTTGTAGGGATGGGTACATAACCATCTGTAGTATCTAAACCCGAAACAGCCATACTTCAATGCTGATAGTAATGCCAAAAACTACTTTCCAATCGCAACGAACAATCGATCACCAATATCCCCAATACCAGGCACGATCATGCCCTTCTCATCAACACCCTTATCAATGGCACCAACCCAGATCTCAACCTCACCCCAAGTCCCCGCAGCACGCTTAACCCCCTCTTTCGAAGCAAGCAAGCTAAGCATAATAACCTTCTTAACACCCCAATCGCGCAGCAACTGGATCGCCGCCTCAGCTGTCGCACCAGTAGCGATAACCGGGTCCAGCAGCACAGCCAGGCTTGCAGCTGCGGTGTTGGTGGTTGGATTCAGAGAAGCTGGCGAGGCTGGCGACAGCTCCGACCGGTGGAAGGGGAGGTTGTTGTAGTATTCTACGGGTTGGAGAGAGACCTTTTCGCGGAACAGGCCCAGGTGGTAGACTGGGACTGGGGTTGGGAAGGAGGTCGTTTAGGGCTGTGGGGGGTTTGTGTAAGCGGGGTTTGGGCCCGTGGACGGGTGAGGAGTGGGGGATAAGGCAGGGGAGTGGGGGAAAGGTTATAGAGGGAGATAAGCTGTAAACGCAAATGGAATTGCAACTGAGGTGTTTGGGATTGCATATGGGAATGGGAATGGGAATGGGAATTGGGGAATAGAAGAGTACATAATAAGGTAACATCGAAGGGAATAACATGGGTTACAGTTGCAATGCTGGCTTGAGGGAATTATGCGGAATAGATTGAGAATCACTCACCATCAACCATTCCTAGGCCAGATCGGAGAATTGGCACTAGGGCTAGGTCTTCTGGGTCAATGCCCTGGGTTTCATACTCAATTCCGAGGGGGGTGGTGTCCTGAGAATGAGTGTTAGGATATCTAATGCTAGTGGTTGATGGATCTCAGTCTTGGGGATCTATTTACCGTTCCTGTTTTGACCAACTTCAGCCCCGAGAAAGCTTCCACGCCCAGGATGTTGGCAATATCATGGACCAAGCCTCTTGTTTCACGCGGGGTGGTGGAAGATGAGCGGATAAGAGAGAGCTTGGCTTGGAGACAGGGGTGGGAGGAGACGTGGACATTTGGTGGGAGAGACATGGTGAAGTGTAGATGATATTAGGAAGAGAAAGAAAAAGAGGGAGAAGAAGAAGGAGAAGAAGAAGAAGAGGAAGGAAGGAAGGAAGGAAGGAAGGGAAAGTCAAGTCAACTTGGCAGCATCCAGTGTTATCTCCCTTCCCCTCATATACAAAATGACCAGGCGCTAACCTTATCGGAACTCCACCTGATCTCCGGTCTCCGATTCTTGGCAAAACTTTTATCCTTTTATCCTACTTCATACTTTAACCCTTGAACGGCAATGCCATTAACTACCGAAGAGGACCCTTCAAAATACAACTATCCTTTAAGAGGCGCCCAACAAGCGAATCCAAACCAATCATGGCCAAGCTCGGGTGAGCGCGCAGCACCTGCACCACCTGCATCTACTGCGCCGCCCCTCTCCAAACACGCAACCCACATCTACACCGTCTCCTACTTAATCTTCTTCTCGCTCTTGGGTACACTGGCCCGCCTAGGCCTACAGGCACTGACATTCTACACAGGCGCTCCCGTCGTGACAGGGGTGCTATGGGCGAATGTAGGCGGAAGCCTGATAATGGGGTTCCTGAGCGAGGACCAGAATCTATTCCGCGAGGAGTGGGGTAAAAAGCCAGCCAAAGAATCAGCTACAGACGCAGTCGAGGTCGAGCGCAAGATCAAGAACAAGAAACATATTGCTGTTAAGAAGACCATCCCGCTGTATATTGGTCTGACGACCGGGTTCTGCGGTTGCTTCACCTCTTTCTCGTCCTTTATGCGGGACGTCTTTCTCGCCCTGGCAAATGCCCTCCCCGACCCGTCGCTGCCTACTGGATCCCACATCGCCTCCCGTAATGGCGGGTATAGCTTTATGGCGCTGGTCGCTGTGATTATACTCACCGTGTCCCTGAGTCTGTCGGCGCTTATCTTCGGCGCGCATCTCGCCCTAGCTCTAACACGCGTGACACCCACCGTGCCCTTCGCGTTTACGCGACGAGTCCTTGACCGTGTTGTGGTCGTGCTTGCCTGGGGATGTTGGCTCGGAGCTGTGTTCCTGGCTATCTGGCCACCAGACCGACATAATGACCCGGATGTGTGGCGCGGCCGGGCGGTGTTTGCTCTTGTCTTTGCGCCGCTTGGCTGTCTCTTTCGGTTCTATGTCTCGCTGCATCTCAATGGCAGGATTCCGACCTTCCCGCTTGGCACGTTTGTGGTGAATATATTTGGGACTATCATCTGGGGTCTTTGCTATGACTTGCAGCATGTTAGTGGTCTTGGAGCGGTGGTTCCTGCTGCTCTGACGGGTTGCCAGGTGCTGCAGGGTGTTATGGATGGATTCTGCGGGAGCGCGACTACTGTCAGTACTTGGGTTATTGAGTTGAAAGGACTGGCTCATCGGCGCCATGCGTATTTGTATGGAAGTGCAAGTGTGCTTGTCGCGCTTGGATTTTTGGTTGTTATCATGGGCTCATTACTCTGGACGCGTGGGTTTGCGGAGCCTGTGTGTGGATAGGTAGCTGGTGGTGTAATATAATGTAAACTAGAGGCGAAATAATTTAAAATGACAGCTATAATATGAGAAAGATGGCAATAGCCAAATTGACATGGACAGTCCCTACAATATCAAAATTACCCCAAAGCATTAATACCAACCGAACACCATGGTTTTCCCCCCTCCTAGCCTTCATACGACATAACATATAGAATCATCATAAACCCCAACATTCTACTCCCGACTAGGCGCAGGCCCAATCTCAACAGGCGGACCACTCCCACCCCCAAACCTCCTCGCCGGGCTCGCCGACCGAAACCCATCAACACGCAGAGCATCCCGACCCAGACCCCTTCCACCCTCCAACGCCATCCCAACAATAGACTCAAGCGCAATCCCACCCCCAACGGGACTAACAGAACCAACAGCCCTACCCGCAACCCCACCACTCCCACGCGGACTAACAGGACTAACAGGACTAAGCGGCGTAAACTTACCAAGCGGACTCCTGATCTGCGGTGTGCTCGCATTCCCCTTCCCAGTCGTGTACAGGTCCATTCCGTGGACTGGTAGCTCGGCGCGGCTCTCAGGCATGCTGACGCGGTCGAGCATCTTTTCTTGCACAGCTGCTTTGGGGTTTGAGGTGGTGGTTGTGTCTTGGTTGGGACTTTGGCTTCGCCCTGCTGTTACGGAGGTTGTTGTTCCTAGGGGTTGGATTGGGTTTTTGTTGCGGAAGGATTTGCGGCGGGCGAGGTCTTGGGCGTCTAGGCGGGTTTGGGATACTGGGGTTGGTTGTTAGGGGAATAATGTCAGTTTGATCATAACTGGTGTCATGCTGAAGTGGGGTTGAAGGTGTATGTATGTATGTTGTTTGATATGCATAGCCGCAGACAGACTTGTAGATCTTTGTATCGATATAGAGATAGAGATATACTTTGGAAAGGAGAGTGGGAGGATAACTCACCACGCCAGAGAGCAACATATGCCCCTATAACCACTATGCAGAGAGATAAGAAGCCGAACATCAGCCCCAGTTCATGGTGGAGGGAGGGCATCGGTATGTAGGGTGGGTATTCGTCCGAGGCCATGGGCGAGGGTTGGCTCTGTAGTATAGTTGTCTTTGGAGTCGAGTGTAGTGAGAGTATATGCCCACCCTGAAAACGAAGAATCTCTCTTTCTAGGCGTATTACGAAGACGGAGCTCGAAGAGAAAATGTCAATGTGGAGTGCAGCGTAGGAATCTGACAGCCCCGGGGGTCTCTCTCTGCTTTGCCCAGGTAAATGGGTTGTTTGTTCACTTGCAGTCAAATGGAAAGGAAAGAAGGGGCTCCTTTCCAAACGCTGAACCAATAGACACAGTGAGAAAGAAAATCAAAACATCTTTGAGGGAGAACTCCGAATTTCGAGTAACAAAGAAAGCCACCCCTAAGTCCGTGTCCAGCCGTATGAAAGAGGCGTGGACTAACGAAAATAAAGTCTGAAAGAAGAGCAACAAAAGCAAAAACGTATAGTCAGTTCGTATTGGCCATATCTATATATACTAATTAGGTAAATCCCATGTACTCCGTACACACGGGAGAATCTGCATCAGAAACAAAAAGGTATCATGTACAACATGCGTACAACATGCAACTCTATACTCCCGACAGTACCAAGTAAGTACAAATAGTACCTCAGCATATCGGGAAATGCAATAACAGAAAAAAAGGGAGCTCAAAGATCCAACCCCACGCCAGAATACAAGGCCATGGATGCAAAAATAGACAAAATGGTAAAATCCGCTGCAAAAGACCGTAAGAAAATGAAAATGAAGATGAAGGGTCGCAGAAGTATGTCGAGCGGAGTAAAAGATGAACAAAGTTCGAGCAGTGCCCGGCGTTTCACGTGTCGTGTCAAGAGAAAAAAAGAAGTAGGTCGAGGCGGAAAAAAAGGTATATGTATCGAAAGTCGGAAGAATCTTAAGCTGGGGTTCGTTTCAAAGCAATCCATGCCAACAATCACCCGAGCATCACAGCCGCCAGAGCAGTAAAGGTCAACCCGATAGCCATGCCAATCCACGGAGTCTGGCCGAGGGAACCCTCACTGCGCGCCTGGAGGACATAGCGAGCAGTGAGCATGCGCATCTCATCGGACGGCAGATCGCGGTCTGCGAACGGAGCGAACTGTTCCCGCGGCGCGAGTTCTGGTAATGAGACGGCGGGCGAGTTGTGCGCGAAGTCGGAGGAGAGGCTGGCGCCTGCGGCGGGTTGTTGTGAGTCGGCGAGGACAGCGGCCGGGGCGAGGAAAGCCAGGAAGGTGGACGGTTTCATTGTGGGCGGAGTATAGGTGTATAGTATATATAGTATGGGAATAGACTGGCGCGCAAATGCTTTGCGTTGTTGCCTATGGGGAACAAGCAACGCCAAGCTGGTTGGTGCGGGTCGTGGGGACGGGGGTCTCGAGTTGGCAAGGCAACAGTGCTGCAGATGGAGGTGGAGAAGAGGTTGGAGGTGACAGATGTGACTCGGATGAGTCTCCTCACGAATATAAGTTGTGAGGGTCTCAGAACATGCCACTTGAGTTCGAGTGTTGGAGTTTGTCGCAGTCAGGCAACCGGGGAAATAAATAGGGGGCCAAACACGGGAGAGGGGAGTTTCCGGGGTGTTTCGCCTTTACTCTCTCAATTGTCAGAATCCAACTCACTCTTAGCCGTAGAGGAGGATTGAAAGAGAAAACGAAGAAGAAAAAAAATCCCAAAAAACCGAAACAGCCCAGGGGGGGGAGAAGGGAAATTAAGGGAAAATCAAGATGAAGCCAGTCAGGAAGAGGGCTTGATTGGCCGAGCCGCTTTTTGGCTTTCTTTGGCTCTCTTTGGCTGAGTCCCTGGTCGAATGAGTGGGGGCTTGGGGGTGTGTCCCTGAATTCTGTGGGTTCTGATTGGTTAACCCGGTTTCCCGTGTCCAAGGCTATCCAGTGTTTATTTATTCTTGATTTTATTTTAATCTCCTTGACTAAACGGTTTGCTGTGAGGGTGTTTCAATAATTTCATCGATTCCATCGATTTACATAGTATGCACCTATAGCATACGTCTATACTTTAAATACAATAAAATAACATTCCATTTTGTTTTCTAATTATAGTTCCAAGGCATCCATCCCAAGGCTTAACGGACAACGCCACAAATGATCGTCAACGCAGGCGCGAAACTCGAGCGAATAGACGAGCACGCCCCGCAGGCAAGATGACGACGCGCATATATGGGCGACACCAAAATCAAGATATTTAGAACCCTTGCTCTTGGCATCGACCAGATCAAAGGATGGACTGTTTATTCTCCAATGCTGAGTAGGGTTCCCAGGACGCGTTGCATGCACTGGTAGCAATCCAACCATCGACCAACCTTGATATTCGCTCTAATGCCAACCCGGGATTTTGTTCATACTGTCCCTGCGCAAAAGTCCCTCCTAGCCTCAAAAACGAGCTGTTCAGATCAAAATGGGCAATACACAAAGAACACATGTTTGGGTTCAGGGGCCCGGTGTGTTTTCTTCGGTTTTGCAGTGCGCGCAAGCCTTTGGGGTATTGTCCGTGGGCGTATCTGTCGGTGTAGCTTCTCCTTCTCCGTCCTGCGGAGAGATCGGGGACTGCGACTCTTTAGATAGACTGGCCCGCAGGTTTTTCAGCCTGACCTGCTCTCGTGATCTGCGAACTGCAAGGCGAATATCGCTGGGCAGGGAATTGGTTTCGATTAAACAATCCGCACAGGCGCGGCAGTAATACCCGGATTGAGGATTCTTCGACTCAACGAGTCGGCGCTTGCTGCTGGGGGCGGTGATCTCACCGCAGTGGACACAGGGGCTTTTCAGAACTCGGGGGTTGCTTTGCATACGGGTCGCTCTGAGCTTTTTGAGCGCTGCAAGTTTGACAGTGCTTGGCAAGGCGTCTGTTTCAAGTAAGGACCGCGTGCATGGCTGGCAGTAGTAACCTGCCGCGGGATTCTGGGGCTCGACGAGCCTACGTTTGCTGCTGGAGATGGTCTTGTCACCACAGTGCATGCAGGGGTATTCACCGCGGCTCTGTTTCATCTGTTTGGGAGAATTGGGATTGCTGGGGGACTTAAAATGGTTGTGAGCCGTTGATTCCCCTGTCGAAGTGACTGATGAATTGCTTTTTGAGGCGACAGTAGGATTACGCCTACTCCGCATCTCTTTGCGGTACTGGAACGCTGCGAGATCTTGCTCGGTTGGGAGGACACCGTGATGATTGACATGCCGAACGCATGTCCGGCAGTGAAACCCAGCAGAAGGGTTATCCGCATCAACGAATTTACGGCTACTTCTCGGAGCAGTCATCTGGCCACAGTGCCTGCATGGACTTGTTTTGCTTGCCTCTCCACTCGCCCTGGCCAGTTTTCGCCGATAGATCGCAGCAAGCTGCTCCTCATTTGGTAGATGGCCATGAGTATTGGTGTTCCTAATACACGCTTTGCAGTGCCAGCCGCTGGAAGAGTTACCAGGTTCGACATGTCTTCTGGCCTTCGGGATAGTTTTTCCACCGCAGTGCGCGCAGAGTTCTGGTTCTTTGGCCGCAGAAGTCTCATGGCGACATTGTTGAGTCCACGATCCCTTGCCATGGCCCCGGATAGCGTGTGCAGGTCTCAAGAGACCACTGAGCAAGCTCCGTAGCGAAAACGAAGTTTTGTTGGCATGGTGTGGACTCGTCACAGACCAGCGATGTGTGCAATTGGTGTCGCGTAATTGAGAAAAGGATCTTAGGTGTTGCGTTATATTATGTCTTGTTTGCAGTCCATTGCGGAAGAATTGCGCATAGGATAGGTTGCATTGATATCCGAGAGGACGTAACGACATGGCGAAGGTTCGTGTAGCACCGGAGACGCTTGATTTGGCCTATGCAGGCATTGTAGAGGGAAGACGTGCAGTTGAAATGGGCCGATTTGTGGCTTGTGCTCGATCGTAATTGCTCTTAGGCATGGAGGATGTAATGATGGTTAAATGCTTTGAACTCGACACGCGCAAACAAAGTTCGTGGTAGCTTGCCCCAGGGCAGATAGTTGGGCCTTGGCATTATTGGTGCCTTATTTATCAGGCCTAGATAAAATTACTTAAGCTGGATCGTTGGGGCGGCCATTGGAAAGTCTTACAACACGAAGCGAGAAATAGAGCGTGCAATACAACTGTAATAGGTATCAAAGAGAGGCTGAGAGGAAAGAGAAGAGAGAGAATAAGAAGAACCGCCAACTATCCCCCGAGGTTTACTGAAGTCCTGCACAAACAAACAGGGTCACGTGACTGCGGGTTCGAACCGAAAGCTTGCGTCTCTTTGATATGCACTATATAATCTATTAGACCCCAGTCTAGCTAGTTTTAGTGATCGTCAAATTAATAAACAAAAAGATTGCTGAAATAAGTACGCTCGAATTTCTTTCCATTCATCATAAGGTACCTTGGGTAGAGGATTCAAAGCATCTCATCCCAATTCGGCGTGACTGTGAACTTGCCAGACAATTGGCCCATAGACCAAACATGTTTTGGTGTGTCTTCCTCCGGCTCCGGTGGCACCTTCGACAAGATGACGGCTTCCTGGACGAAACCAACCGGTGCTCCACGATCCAACTCCATACTGATTCCACCCCAGTCTAGGGTCACACGGCCTGACTGGTGTACGTTCAATTTGCCGACACGGCCTGTGGGCAGAGACCATGGTTGGCCGGCTGTGATGACGCTGTTATCTTTTGATTCGGTTGGTTGGTTGTTTTCCACGATCTCCACGTCGTCGCCTGCTTCGCGCTTGATCTCGTTCTGGAGAGGTGCAGTTGCGGCTGGGGCTGCAGCTTGGTTTTGGTTGCCATGGGCAGAACCAGCGACTCTGAGGTAGGGGGTCATCGGTGGGAATTGCATGAGGAACATTTGGCCATGTAGAGGGTTGTCTTCTTCCTGTTCTTCCTTCTCTTCGCTTGCTTGGTCACCTTCCTGTCCTTCCACTGCGGCGGGTTTGCCTTCAGCGGCGACTTCAGCGGTTTCCGCGTCTGTGGTGGCCTTCTTTGACTCCTTGGGAACAAGAAGATCCCTGATGATAGCCAAATCTTCCATGTGTCGGTCATATTCGTCGGTTTCCTCTTTGGTGTGAAGTAGGCTGCGTGGGTCTGGGATTTCGGGCTCAGGCGAAGGTTGAGTCGATCGTAGTTCTGTTGTGCTCCTCTTTGTTGGACTCATGCTCTGAGCCGAGCGCACACGCACATTATGCTCCGGGAGGAAGTCGTCGTCATCTGCGTGTGGGATAGCATCCCGCATAGTTGTGTCGTCGTCTTGAGGTTCGGGTTTGACCTTAGTAGGTGTACGGCCGACATCCTTCGCAGCTTTCTCCTTCTCTGCTTTTTTGCGGAGATCGGCGGTTCTGCTTGTGCTAGATTCCATGTTGACACTGATGACTCTTTCCTCATGTTCATGTCGCTCAACACGGACAGGACGAAGTCCGCGTTCGCCGCTCGACCTGCTGGGTTGTTTACCCTTGAAATCCTTCGGCGTATCCCAATCCTCCTCATCGCTATCGAGGTTGATATGATCGATGCTGACACGGAGTGCATTCTCTTCGTCGTCTGAAGAGTCATATGCGCGCCCACGGTTGCCCCCAGTAAGAACAGACCGATTGTATCCTGAGCCTGCGCCGCCTGCGCCTCCTCCATATCCACCACCTCCGCCTCCACCTCCGCCACCATAACCACCATAGCCACCACGGCCTCGCTTGCCGCCTCGTCCACCAAATCCAGTCATGCCCATAGCCATGGGTCCACCACGGCCACGGAACCCAGCACGACGAGCAGTACCACCACGGCCACGCTGAATAGCGGCAGCCTCCTTCAAACGCTCATTGTATCGTTCTTGTTCAAGTCTCTCGATCTCATCTCGCTCCTGCTTGCTGCGACGCCCAACGGCCTTCGGCTTGTGTTTCAGGACCGGTTTGGGCGGCTCGCCACCAAGCGCCGACGGGGGCCGACTGCTGGGCGCGATGCTACCGGAAGGTGTGCGTTTGTTCAGTGATTGAAGCCGTTGCACTGAGGCTCGACTCGCAGGACCGGGCGTGCCGGTTGCCGTGGGAGTGGTTTGCGCACTGCCCCCGCCAGCGGGAGTCGGAGTAGTTGTATCTGTTCGAGCACCGCGACTGGTGGCCCCTCCACGGGTGCTTTCACGAGCGGCGGCTTTGGGAGGCATTGTCGTCGCTTTTCAAACAAGGCGCTGAATGCGGCTTGCTAGGCGGTTGGAGAAAAGTTCGTGTAGAGGGGCTGGTTTGCGCACCGCGTTACATGCAGACTCAGCGTTAGGATAACTGGGTTATGTTACCGGTAACTCACGACAATGCGACTGGAAGTAAGCAAAGCGCCGTTTCTTAAAAGAAATGCGAGCGTTTTGAGGTTCGAGAAAGTTGAGCTTCTTCAAAAAAGTTGCGGGGCCAATCACACCGCCCTTGTCATGTGACTCATCCCGCCATGTCCATCGCTGATCGACATTGTACTCTCTAGCTATGTAGGATACGATGATACGACTAAATGGAACCTTGGAAGATTGAAGCGCACAATAAAAAATTGAACCCCTTCCATTGACTCCCTGACTACCCAGAAGACGAAATAAAGCAAGATCGGCACATCCTCTACAACTTGTCACGCTTTGACCTTGCCCTCCCTCGGAAGTATATAATACTTCCGCTACTAGTCGACCGTACACCACACAGATGAAACCGACATAGACAATGATAAATAACCCAGTAACATTGATTCCGAATGAGCGAGTGGATGTGACAAGAAGCATATAGCCCGCAGAAACACTAAGACGCCGAAGGGACACAATAACAACAGATCAACCGCTTGGCAGTGTATAATGGAGGGAGCATGGCTTGTAACCAGAGAAGGGAATGTGAAGTGAGAAGGGCAAATGATGGTAGTATGCTAGTATAAGGACTGTCTCTGGCGCTGGCCAGGAGAAGGCGAAATGAGAGAGTGAGGGCGGATGAGATTGGCCCATGGTGAGGATGGTAAAATGAATGAGAGATCCCGTGGTCACGAAGAAGATTGGAGGTGCGAAACAGTTCGGCGCTTAGAGATAGCGGGAGAAATCGCAACCTGCAGCTCCACTAGCGTTTCCGCTTCTTATTCTTGTCTGCTATAGACGAAGAGATAGGAGGGGTCGCAGGCGTTAATGAAAACTCCTCCTCCTCGTCTTCATCCATCTCTTCCCCGTTCTTCTTCACGGGCACACCCATATGGCGACCGTAACGCCCTTTGCGACCATTGCCCTCATCCTCACTGAGACAGCCGTCAATTCCAATGCCTGCATCCTTGCAACGTCCACAGGGGCGCTGACGATCACAGCCCTTCTTGCTCTTGCGGCACCGCTGGCAGCGAGGCTTGGTAGAAAGGTCTTCCTCATCCGCACCGAGCTGGTGCTGGAAGTTGACCGAGCCCCCAGAGACCTTTCGGGAAGACGCCGGGCTGAGAGGTGGAACAGGCGCAGCCGACTTCTCGGATGATTTGCGAGGAGCGGGCATAGCAATCTTGCTTTTGTTCAGTTTCGCAGGTGCAGGCTTCTGGCTGCGAACTTTGAAAGATGTGGGGCGGCTCTTCGGCTTCTTTGCCTTGGGTGCAAACTCCTTGTAAAGGATATCCTCCTCAGCTTCACTTTTGATGCCATCATCTGCACCATCCGAGCTGTGGTCGCTGCTATCGGCGCTGGGAAGAATGTCATCCAGGCCCTTAAGGTGGCGCTTGATGGTTCCCGGCGGGAGCATTGGGCTTGAGTCCAACCTCTGGCGACGAGCTGGCAAGTCATCCTCGTCCTCGCTAAAGTCTTCCCCATCGCTGGTAGCACCAGTGGACGAGGCAGCGTCAGCAGCACCACTGAAGGCATCGTCCAATGTCGAGGCAGAGGTGCGTCCGTGAGAAAAATTGGACGCATCGCCTAAACGTATCAATTGCATCGCCACATCCTCATCGGAGATGCAGCTTGCGATGGTGGGGTCAGGTGTGGGCAATACACCTGGACCACTCACTCGGCTAGCCGAGTTGTTATAGACTCCCGTGTCGCGCATGCGATTTCCATGGTCCGGAACCACGGGAGTCGCATAAATCGTATTGCGGCCCGAGTGAACACCATATTCGCTGTGACCATAGCTTTGCGGTGATGGAAGCGCATGTTGATAGCTATACGGGCGTTGCGGTGGGCGTGCGAAAGGCGACCCAGCGCCTTCCTGACCAATCGATCGACGTTGGGGAGAGATGGAGGAGGTGGAGGTAGTGAGGGGCACTTGGGGAGGAACGAACAGGGGGAGCTCCTAAGGGGAACATATTGATTAGTGACCGTCTTTAATAAAAAAGGAAAGTCCTCTCGCATGAGTCACTCACAGAGCTATCGAACTTGGGTCGTTTCCGACGACCATCTTGTAGTATATTCTCCATGCTGATATCAGAGCTAGCAAATAGCTCATTGCGAGCCCTGCGAGCATAAGCGCTCTCGGTATCGCTATATTCATCATCATCATGGAAACCTCCATGGATGCTCGAGGCCCGGCTTTTGTTGCCCGCGCGGGAGGGAGGCTTGTGCTGAGAAGCGCTGCGCAGACTCCGGTTTGACGGAGAGGTGCTGCGCTTTCTCGCAAGCCGAGAGGCTGGCCGTGATGGCTGGTCCAACACCGGCGCTGTTCCATCTACCATCTGGAAAGGCTCTGCCAGACTGGGCCGCTTGCGAGGCTCGACATTGAAACCGTTATAGAAGTGATCCCCATATGGTTGAATGGGAATGACTCGCACGTATACAGTCCTATTGTTCTTGAGATTCTCGTACCTTGCGATGAGGGTGGTCCCATGTTCATCCTCGAAGCTGACCCCACTGGCAGTACCGTCATATATTCCATAGAAATTTTTGACCGTTGTGACGATCGAATCCGTGGTATCATGAGGATAGATCTGAACGCGCATCGGAATACGAGCTCGGACTTTGGAGTTCTCATCGAGAAGCAACTCAAAGGCGATGTTCTTGGGTGCTGGGCCTTTAAGCGACAGGTCTCGAGCTACAGCGGCAGAGTCTGCCAGACCTGGTTGCTCGACCAGGGCAGAAAGCCCGTCATGCTGAACCGCTTGCATATCAAAGTGTTCCAAATTGAGGAATACTCCACTGCTATACCAAAGACTGCATCAACCCACTGCTTGTGTGCCGTAGAGGGCGGGAATGTGATCCATGGCAAGACACAGAGGAAGGGCAGGTGTAGAGGGAAGAATCCATCAAACCTACCACAATTGTTGAATTCGAAATATCAGGCTGGTGGATGGACCACCCCCGGGTCTTGATGTATAGAAACTGTCGAAGCAAAACCTTCGATGGAGGTGGGAGGGGAATCTGCAGTCGCAAGAGCCGGAAGCGACTCAAAAGGGTAAACGTGGGCAACCTGACAGAAAACAGACCATATAAGTTAACACAATGAGGTTCCAAGTGCTCGAATATACAATAAGGATGGGTTTTGTCTTGAAAGATGATGGATGAATGTGTCGCTAACCGAGTCCGGCCGACCTTGGGAGCGGGCTTGGGGGGAAGCAAGCGAGATGACCCGGAAAAGAATGGAGAGAGATTTGAACACACCTAATTCAACTCAAACAGAGTCCTCCAGTATCGCAGATATCTGGATTGTCTAAGACAGGGCGAAGGATCGAAGGATCTGTTCGGTCGAGGTCGGGAGGGGATTGTCGATTCTACGAAGCGCTGAGGCTATGTCAGCGGTGGCATCTCCAGGATTGAAACGGGGTCAGGGGAGTGAAAAGTGAGATAGAACAAGAGTAGAGATACATACCCAATACTGTTGACAGCGCTGATGGCGATTTGTTCGAGGGGTTGTTGGATGGAAGGAAGAAGGTTGAGGTGGGTGCGTACGATGGTTTCACCTAAAGCGAGAAAACGGCCTGTCTGGGTCGGTGACATGGCGATTTGCGCTTCCGGCGCCCATCGAAGCAGCCATCACATTCCATGGTATTAATGAATCTATATAAAATCTTCATTTGATTTGCAACTATTCTATGCATCGAAAAAAATAACTATGTGTGAAACCATCCCAATGCTGTATCTTTTCGCAAAGGCGCAAAAGCTGTCGCAAGCCGGATGCCATTGCGCCGAGTGACGGACCACTTTGTCTAACCCTCCTTCTTGCATATTATGTACGAAATTGAGAATATAATCCGATCTTTGAATCATCGATGAAGTGTAAGCGAGTGTGGGCTACCTAAGACTGTTGGGGGGGGAGGATGCAGCAGTTCACACAAAGCAGGTAGCATAGGTACCTCTGTCGCTACAAGTATCTAGGGTATCGAGGGCTAAGGGCGTAAAATAAGACAAAGAAATAGCGCCCAGTAGATTTATGGGCTTGCAGCTAGTTTCTAGCTTGACCGCGTAGCAACCCATACCCTTTTTTCGGTCTGTTGTGGAGGTGTGCGCTTGGACAGAATTGACATTGTCCAGTCATTTTCCCACCACCACCCTTGTCGCATTGCTCATTTACTATGCGGATTGGAAAATACTAGATACCGCGACACTTATAATGTTGGTTTGATATCAAATTCGCTAGGGTAGGGTGATTGATAGACGTCTTGTTGATCCGCCTCTAGGACGGGACCTGGATATTTATACTCAACCGAAAGGATATCACCGTGAGAACCAAAGCATTTCAATTCCCGAAATAACCCCTTTCATAATATCGCATGACTCTCCGGAGTTGTCTCGCATGATCTGCAACTTGAATTTACCCCTCCTCGGACCTACGTAAGAAGGTTAAAAAGGGAATCCCGCATCTGGGTTACAGAGCATTCCTTTCTCCTTGGAACCTGGCTACAAAAGTGAGATCGGAATATAGCAAATCCGTGATTCCACAGTTTTATTGATTTCTCAAGAAAATAGCCGATGAAAAGGGGGGAACATTTCTGCTTGGTGGAGTCAGGCGGTGATGCTGAGAGACTGGGCGCAAAAGGTCCTTTGGATACGAATTGACGATGAAGATCATCGGATCCGAGAACGTGGGAATTGTCTATAATTTACTCCGAAACTGCCCATTTCCTCTGATCTGAAGCCCCGCACCACCTGGCGAGACTGAAAAAGCCGATGACTGTCGCAATGATAGGAGTGGGTTTCGGTTGATCACAAAGCTGCCAAACAGGAACCGCTTGATTCCGGGTGTCCCA